AAAATCTTCAGCACATAGGCAACACTTTTCCTAGGAGGTAGTCCTGTATTCATTTTGCCAACTTCCAGATGGATAAAACTAAGATTTCTTTTTGCTTATTCCAGAAATGTAATAATTTATTACATAACATTTACAACTTAAAAGAATCTTAAAATATTTTGATGAATCAAATTAGAAGAGTAGTGCTCCTGCCGTGGCTGTCGGGAGATCCCCCTTTCTTCCGCTGGCCACAGGACCACAAGATGGATTCCCCAGTCACAGGGACATGTCTCAGCTTCTCTCAGTGTTTCTGAGGCTCACAGGGGCTGCTCTGATGTTTGAAAGTGGTGCCAAAGCAACTGGCTTGCTGTATTTTAGAGCAGTATTTGAAAATACCTCCCCTAGGATGCTAGTTCCTAGGTATAATACATTATTTAGTCTGGAAAGACAGATTTACTTTGAGCGGTGGGGGCGGGGGCGTGGTGTGCGTCAGTGCTGACTGGCTCTGCCACTTACCTCCCAGGACCTGCAAATGCCAAGAATCATCCCCTGTGGTCAGTGGTGCTGGAGGAGGAAACTGGAATGTTGTACAGAAAAACACAAAGGCACCAGGTAGGAGGACCGCTGCTGGTCTAAGGTGAGTTTGGACTAATAAAGGTTGTTCTCAAACCTACTTATGCCCCATGAGAGCCAATACTTGCCTTCCCTAAACCACTTCCCCCAAATCCACTGTTCTGGGGCTATGAGAAGGTTATTTGTGGAACACACATGGGACATTAAGCTAGTTGTGGGCAATACGGAGATGAGGAAAGTTGGCTATTAATTGTCTGATGAGGGACAGTGCAGCATAAGGACACTGTTTTGTTTTTTTTTTTTTCAGAACCAGGGATTGAACTCAGGCCCTTGTGCTTGCCAGGGAAGCGCTTATTCCACTGAACCATCTCCCCGGCCCTGTTGTGTGTTTTGAACTCTCGGTCCTTGGTCCAGGTCCTGGTTCTGCTGCTCTTTATCTGGATGGCTGTGATAGGTTCCTTCTCTAGTCTTTCCAGTTTTAATAGAGTCTACTCACCGTGGCATCCAGTACAAGCCCGAGGAGTACATAAAATGTCTCATGAAAAGGCAATAAAGTAAAAGCAATTAGTAAAGCATTTATGTCCTTGCTAATGGAACTCAGAGCGAGGGATCTTGAAGTGCTCCAGTCGTTTGGGCCTTCCAATAAGGACAAGATTCTTCAGTAATTTAACACTGTCTTTGTTTGGAATACTTCTTACTATCTTTTTTTTTTTTTCTTCAAATGTGGTACATCCTAGGAGTATAAACAATGCTAAAATTGAAACTTGACTCAGTCTCATTGTAGGAGATTTCCCTTGCCTTCTGCTGGGGACACAGTGACTGGCATTTGGGAAGCTGTGAGTCGGAGAAGAACTGGAGAGGCTATAAAACCGTTCAGTCAATGGGCAGAGCAATTGGCAGCGTCGGGACTGGGGCATGGTGCTGAGATGGGGAGAAGGGATGTGGAGGAAATGGGTTAGATTAGGTGTTTCTGTCCTTCCTTACTTAGCTTCTTAGAGTCATCTCTATTATTTTTGATTATTCCATCGTTAATTCAAGATATTAGTCCTTCCCTGTCCCAGCGTTTTTACCATCAGAAGGATACATAGGGCCACCTTCTGTCTGTGGAGATTAAACACTGGCCTTTTGTTTTCATTACTAAAGCCACTCTCACTGGATTTTGGAGGTGCACCCTGCAGATGCATCCGTCCCCAAGAGGAGGCCTTGAGCGCGTGCACAGCGGCCTGTCAGGAGATGCCAGGTCTGACCCAGCCATGCTGCATGCTGGTGGTTAATGCTCAGCTGGTGCTGGAATGGGCGAGAGACTTCTAGGCAGAATCCATACAGCACCCCTACCCTGCTTGAGTGTGGGGGGCTCTGGGGTCACCTGCCGTGGGACTGCCCAAATGCCTGCATGGAGGGGCCCGGGCTGCAAAAGGAGTTGCGCTGCGAGTTCCAGACCTCAGTCTCACAGTGGCGCAGTTGTTGTCTTTGCATATTTTGCTCCAGCCAAAAACAATGCTAATCATATCTCATAGTTGCAGCTTTTCTCAGGCACTAGAAGAATGGGAGACTTTTTTTCCAAATAAAAATGAGAATTTATTTTGAGCCTTTGTGACAAGAAACGAGTGAGAAAATTTCTAAAGGCAGAAGTAACAGAAAACCATCTCAACAAAAGGCGCAGTACCACGGTCCTTTCACATGGCATTTTCACAAGCTCAGCTCTTAGGTCTGCCGAGTCTTGCCTGAGAAAGGAAAACTCTGACCTGGAGATGCTCTAGTGAACGAGCTCTTTGCTCTTCTGTCGCGGGCTCGCCCGACCACACTGCTCCCTTGATACATGCTGCGACGCCATGTCTGTCACAGTCTTTGGGCTGAGTGTGACAGGGGTTGTAAAGAACAACCGCTACCAGTTTAGTAACCACTCTTCTGATTCTATCTCACGTTCCTCCCATGAAGGATGCCGGGACAGCTGCCCTGTGCTAAACTCTCTATGGAATGTGATGGTATATTGAGGGTTTTTTGGTGTCCTTTGAACAATGCAAATACTTCTTCAGTAAGATAGTTGTTAAATTAGAATGGCAAGACTGCAAAGATAAATTTCAGTGCTTCTTGTTCCCCTTTCATAACTAAAACAATAAGCAAAACAAACCCCTTGGGTGCAAGAGTTAATACACAAAACAAGACAAAAGAAGCAGGAATTGCCTAGGTTCTGCAAGGCTTAGTAAAAAGATCAATACTTATTTACAAGTGTGCTTGGGTGGAGCTCTGGAAGTCCTGGCAGTCCTGAATGGGTAGAACCGATCAGGAGGTGCAGAGGGCCAGGCCAAGGCTTGGGTGGCTTCTGAGTTTGGTAACTAAGCAGGCAGGCTCCAGATGGTTCCTGAATCTGCCACTCACTCCCGTGCATGACCACAGGCAAAGCAAAGTTCCTCTCTGTGCTTCATGGAAAAAATGAGGATAATGATGGTAATTCCATCCTGGGCTTCTGAGTAGGGAAAGCAACCCGGTCCAGGACCTGGTCATTAAGGACTTCCGGTTGCCTTGTCCTGAAGCTGAACCTGCACTGGAATACACAAGAGACTTTGATATTTGCAATTTTGGAAAATAATCTTTTATGTTTATTTCTCTTCCCCACTTTTTCTTATTTTGGCCAGCCCATCTGTCCCTTCTCTCCTTTCTACCCCAGGTTTTTTTTTTTTTTTCATTTCTCTCTCTTGCCCTCTTCAACTGAAACTTTGATACAAGGTGCCTGGTTCCTGGGGAGCCCTGCAGGGCCTGGGCCAGCTCAGGGTCTGCGCCTTTCTCTCCAGAGGCTTCCAAGCTGAGCACGGCCACTGCCCAGGTCCAGTCCGACCTCAGTCTGTCTTCTGCTCCCTCTAGCAGGCCTCCTATGTGCTCTTCTTTCTGTACATGATAATGAAAATGTCAATAATTGAGTCTTCCACCTTAAACCTAAATTTAGTTAGTTGGCTTCTCTTGCCTGAATTCCCCGTTCTTACCCGGCCTGGCTTGTCTGATCTTCTTGCTATCGCACTTTTCAGACCCGGCCTGGCTCCTTGCTCCTCAGGCACCTTCGGCAGCTCTTTTTGGCACCTCTGCCCCTACCCTTCTCTAGCATTTCACAGCAGCAGAGGTTGAACCACTGTGCCAACTGGAACTTTAGTTGTATCATAGTATTTCCTCCTTAAAAAAAGCATCATTGATATCATTCCGAGGACAATCATACTCACAGACAAGGAAGTTACTGCAGTGGCGGCTTGCTTGCAAGGACCTCAATACCTCTGGAATCCTGAGTCCCCATCCTGAACGCTAAAACCCCACTTTCCCCCTGCTCAACTCAGAAGCTTCCCACTGACTACCCCACAGGTTCACTGTCGGAGCGCCACCTCCAGATTCCCCATTCTTCCTCAATACGTCCACCTGAGCTTGTGCTATGCTCAAATAAGTAGAAGTGAGAGAGAACATACCTGCTTGTCTGTAACGACCATATTATATTTTTGCCTGGTGAATGCCGTCACGAAGCACAGCGACACAGAGGCAGAAAGGTTAGGTTCAGTTGTGTTTTACAGGAACGACTTTTGAGTCACACTTTCTTCTAAGTGTGTATCAGACAGCCAAACATAAGGCTTTACCTTCTCAAGCTCTTAGTATTTTCTGAATTAGGGGCAGGTTTCATTTGCTGTATTGAGTTTATTCTCTGTCTCTCTCTGTCTCTGTCTCTGTCTCTGTCTCTGTCTCTGTCTCCGTGTCTCTGTCTCTGTCTCTGTCTCTCTCTCTCTCTCTCTCTCTCTCTCTCTCTCTCTCTCTCTGTCTGTCTCTCTCTGATGCTCCCGTACACTTTCTTTGTACTACAACTCTCTTTCCCCCCTGGCAGCATGAAGTATGGTCATTGCTTTTTATGGTGTCTAGTACTTTGCTCTCTACTCAGTGCATATTTTTGCCTGACTCCCATTCCAAGTCTGGGGAATCTGGATTCACAAAGTAATAGAATTTTGTTACAAAATCTGGAGTATGATTGTAATTCTACTTTTGAAGTGCCCACACCCACAGGGCTAGCAGTGATGGATGCTACTGTCAGGAACCCAGAGGCACACACACATCCATCAACCAGGAAATTACATAAACAGCTCACCCAGCAGGCCAGAGCTGAGTCATCCATTTGCTCCCCTGAGGGAAGAGCGGGTCAGGAAACCCAGGACAGCAGCAGGAAATAGACAAAGGAGGAGTTAGGAAGGGGCTGGGTTCTTGTAGGTCCTCCCTTCCTAATCTTCTGCTGAGGGGAGCAGCAGCAGGCTAACGTTTAGGGTTTGTGATCTGCGCTGTGGAACCAGGATCATGGGGAGTTGCTTGGAAATGCTTGTCCTGGGAAGTGCTGTCAGCCTTTATTCATGGTGCATGCAAATGAGACACACAGCTCTAGACACATACTTTTATCCTGATATAGGTACAGAGGATGTCTACATTTTCCTTAGGGCTGGATGTGACCTTCTTAGGCTAAGCTCATACTACGATAGTCTCTCTGGACAGTGAGTCTATGTTGATTCCAGCAGGATGGGAGGTAACAGAGGTTGGTTGCTAAGATGTCTGAAACATAAGGGTACTATTAGGGTGGAAGAGTGGAAAGCTGTCCAGCAGGCCCACTGGTAGCTTGTGAGGGCGGGGCAGTTTATCGATAGCGGCAGGCCAAAGCATTGACGTTCTTGACCACATAAAAGCCCATGGTGACTGGAGGGATGACCAATGTCCTGCCGGCCCGCAGGGGGCGGGGCTTCAGCTCTGGGAGAGTGCCATCGTCCACCATCACTAAGGGCTGCCCATTCAGCTGCACAGACCTATGGTGGGGAAAACGGGAGAGGACACATTATTTTATTTTCAGGGAGCCATCTAGACAAAACCTGGGCTGGCTTTCATCTTCCTGTCAGTCTGTGATGTCCATTCAACCATGACTCGTGATGTAGGCCATGCCTAGGAACTGACCTTGGTGCTCTGTTTAATAACTTACCAAACATCCTGATCACCCTCTGAGGTCAGGAACCATCATAATCCTCATTGTACCTTGAGTAGCTCCGTGACCTTCCCAAGGTCATATAGCTTGGAGAAACTGGAATTGAACCAGGGAATTTAGCTCCAGAGTGGATCATCAAGACTAGTGGAAAGTTACAGAAGCTATATATGCCTTGGGGTGGGGAGATAGCTAGATGGTCTAAGTGCCTGCCTGGCGAGCACTAGGACTTGGGTTTGATCCCTGGTACCACATGCGCTGGCCTGCACATGTCAGCCACTGAAACTTGGCATGGTGGTGCACGCTTATAATCCCGTCACTGGGGAGGCTAAGACAGGAGGACCACTATGAATCTGAGCTGCGTAGTGAGACCCTATACCAAATAAATAAATCGTTCTTTTCTTTATAAAGAAGTTATATCATGCCTTGTTTTGAGAAAAAAATCACAAACTACAAGTCAGCCTGACTTTTCTGTCTTAAGAGTTTTGGCCTGTGGAATGATGCTCAGGCTTTGGGTGATTTCAGAAACCTACCACTTGCTTACATCTTTCATTAATTTATCCTATAAATTAGACAATTGGCATGCTACTTATATAGGATCATTCCAAAGGAGGACAGACTTATCTAACAACTGCACTTTTTCTAATTTAAGCATGTTTCCTATTTAATATTTAACAGATGTTCCCATTTTAGCAACACAACAAAGTAGGTGATAAAGTATGCATTTGTTATCGTAACTCATCGAACCACCTTGCTTTTATTCTGTATGATATTCTGTATGATTATTTTTGATCCTGAGAAGAGAGACCATAATTGTAACATACTTAGAAGAGAGAAGCAGGCCACTTCAGGCTTGTTGGGAGGGAAATGCCAGCCACCAGTGTCCCCAGGCACAGAATTCTAACTATCCTGACAGCCTTGTGCCCAGGTGGAAGCTCACAGGTGGGTAGGGGAGGACAAAACCAAGCTACCAGCTGAAGATAAGGTCGTGGGCCACCCCCAGAAAATCAGCATTACACAGTAATGACCCTTTTTGGGCCTTGATTAACCCTCAAGGTGGAAACACTGCAGCGATACCATTCAAGCTGCAAAGAAAATAAAATATTAGTGATTGACAGAGAGGACTTTGCTTGGTGTTCTTCTGTGGTATGAATTATAGACAGGCTTAGACATAATAAGACCCATCACCACCAGAACAGCGAGTTCCCTGAGATAAGTGTGCTGTAAATTGCTCCCCATGGATGACGAGGAAGAGCTCCAGGTCTGGTCCTACATGGGTAAGTTTGGACCGGGTCCAGATCTGCCAGGCCACAGGAAGCAGCTCTCCTGTTGGAATTACTGAAGAATAAATGAATGGCCACACCCACCTCTGGCCACACTCCAGCTATGAGATATGAGAGTTGGTGTTAACCTCATCAAATATACAAAGAGTGCTTGCTTCCAAACGTACGGAAACTTTTGTTTCATGCCTGGCAAAGAGAGTCTACTCGTTGGAGTGCCAGGCAGGTTGAGGTGAAGTGTTCAGAAAGGTTTCATCCTCATAGTATATTTCCACTATTTTGCTTCAGGTGACATGAATGTCCAACAACCAGATACAAGCACAGTTAAATGTAAGTGGAATAATGCTGATTAACCTTTCAGAAACACACTCAAAATTTTATTACTTGTTTGCTTGCAAATCTTCAATGGCCTTTCATATATAGAATTAGGCACAAGGAATTAGGTAAGAACATTTTAGGTTCAAATGATCCCAGGGCACTATACCTTTGGGTTCTGGGAATTGCAAAACTAACTGTGAAAAGAACACCTTGCAAATGTCTGTACTGAGAGCAACAGGTGTTCAGGAGCAGGCCCCGTTCTGACTGTCTCATTGGTGGGAGAGTTGGGTGGAACTGTGAGCATGGCCAGTACCCCAGATCAGAATCTCTAATTCCAGGGCTAGGGCCAAACTGGGTAGATCTCTTAACCTAACTGCCTTGATACATCTGCATCTGTAATGAGGTTATATATGTGATAGTTAAAATGAATTTGAATATAAAAAATAAAAGCGATTTTTCAGGCACACGAAGCCAGGTAAGTAGGCAGTAGGGTTTCTGTTGTTTCTCTTTTCATTGTGTGTACAGACACCCATTTTGGGTTTTGTCTTTCTTTTTACTTTGTGGATCTGACTCTTTCGAGGCCTTCCGGAAACCTCCTCTCCCCTTGGCGTCCTCTCTTCCTGCTCTTCCTTGGCTCTCTCTGGGTTTTCGTCCTTCTTTTCTGGATGTTGTTTCTTGTGAAGGGAAGCTGGTCTGACAAACCTGGGAGGATGATGTGTCTCCTGCTGCTCTGCCCTCGGACCCTCTTCCCCTGGAACTCTATGCTCCTTTGGCGGTATTACCCGCGCTGCCACTTGGGTGATCATCTGCATGTTGGCGCTTCCTGAAGCTGTCCCTCTGCCCTAAATCGCTCTTCTGCACTTACAAATTTCCACATAGTGCTCCCACAGCAACTTCAAAGTCACATGGTCCAAATTAAAGTCTTCTCCTTAAGCTCTATCTATACTTCAAAAACAAAAATTTGTGGTGTCACCATTCATCTAGTCCCATAAGCCAGGAAGCTAGGAGTCCTGTGAGACTTCTAGCCCTATTCTCAAATCTGGCTTGAATAAGTCAAATCAATTCTATCTTTTAATATTTTTCAAGCCTGCATGGTTTTCTCCATTCACTGCTGTCATTGCAGTTCAGAGCTTGCCTCTTAGCTGTCTCCTGCTGACAGAGCAATCTGTCGTTGCCACAGTGCTGCTCCGTACTCAACAGTCCCCATCCCTTCCATTTCATTATGGATAAAGAGACCCGCTCCGACTCTCTCTAGACTCAAAATTTGCTGGACCCCTGCATATCATCCTAACACAGGCCACACAGCACAGGAGTGGTATGGGATGAATTGCCAGTCCTTGTGAAGGATTTCATCAGTATATACATATACAAAGAATTTTCAGGGTAGGAAAAAAAAAAAAACTTTCACATAAATGAGATAAATATTTCTCAGATGAAGATAACTAGGCCTGTACCATGGTGATGAAATTACAGAAATTCATTTGAAACTGTAGTAAATATTTCCCTAACATAAATGCCCATTAATACTATTGGGATTTAAAAGACACAAGTTCATTTAAAACTGTTATAAAGTTACTAATACATCTTTACAGGAAAAAGGGGGTATCATATACTTTTGTTTTTGTAAGAATAGAGATTTTTAAAAGGACAACTAGGCTACTGTGGGAAGGCTGTATTTGCTGTCATTCCAAAGGGGCCCTCATTCTGGAGCAGGCTGGGCTCCCTTACTTCAGTGTGACTAAATTCAGTGACCTGCGCTTTAGTTTGTGGATGGTGTCCCTCCACCCAGAAAGCAGCCAATCCTTCTGGGTCAGACGAGCTGTAGGGGTCCATGCGGAATCTGCTCAGGAGTTGCCTCTTTTAGACAAACTTCTCTGATACCTGTGTTGGTTAGGAAGCCCTGTTTTGGGAGTCCTTAGCAACCCAGACTTACCTATACTCATGGTCTTTCTCTTATTGCAAGGCATGTTATATACCTGGTTGTGAATCTTCAATGCCCAAAGCTACAGAGCAGAATTAAATATTTTGTGTGTAGGTGAGTGAACTTTTGAGACTGCATTATTTGTGGTCTTTCTAGGTTAGTTCCTCCAGCTTTAGAGAGGCCCACTGAACGTTCCTTGGGTGTCTCCACAGATTTCATTAACATACCAAATTACCCATGCTTTTGGTAGAGAGGTTAGAGAAGATCTCAGTTACTATTGGTTCTCATAGTCACTCAACTAGGTGCCTTATCCCAACCTGACATGAAGCCATTGATCATAGCTAATCCTTAAAAAATGATCTGTATGGCCCTTTCTTAGCTAAGCCAAAATGAGTTAATTTTGTGAGAAAGATTTTGAGCTCTCCCATATCCTCATTCACAAATCTCTCTTTTTAAAGATGGGCAGTGTGTTTTATCATCTCGTCTACCCTTTCTGACTATATTTTTTCAATATTTATCTTGTGACTCAATAAAATAGTATGTTAAATATAACAATATTGTTTTATATACTCTGAACAGTTTGTAGGTTTGCAATCACATTAGTGGTAGAAAAATAACATTGATTGTGGAGAACCATTTATACAAAAAGCACTACAAAAAGTAAGCCAGTTATTTTCTGACTTACTTTGACCAGTATTGGTATCCTTATACCTGTATTGCAGATGAATAAGTCAAAATATAGAGGATCTAAAAGTTGTCTGGGTCAAACAGCCCGTGTGTGGTGGGCTGAGATTTGCACTGGTGTGTTGAACTGTAGTTCTCTCTGGGCTCCGTTATTAAAAAGCTCTGAGAGATATAAAGGGCAGCATTATTATTTTTGTAACTTCACTACTGAGGTGAGGTCAGAGAGATTAAGTGGTCTAGGCAGGACCCTATAGCTAATTAAGAGGTGAGGCCAGGTCTCAAATTTAGGCCCCCGGAGCACCTTTCTAGTATTTCATGTTGTTTGCCCAAGCCCAGGCGGCACTCAGTAGGATCATATTTCTTTCTTTGAAAACCTTTCTTACCACATTTTCATCATGTGCTCAGATGGGCCTTAACTGGCTTATGACTTTTCAAACAAAATGCTAAGTTCTCCAGCCTACGTTGGACTATTTCTCTTAATTCCTTAGCTTGCCTGACCTCCAGAGGGTATTCAGATTATCCAAATATTAGGACAACTGTGTGTTATCACCATCTGTTTTTATAAAACTTGAGTTATTTTCCAATTTCCAAACTTGTTTTCTTAATTTGCCTTGTTATTTGAAATGG